TCCCTCAATCTTCCTATCCATCACTGCTTCTGCTTCTCACCTTGTTATTATGTGGTATGTTTTCGATTCCCTATTTTGTAACTCCTATATAAATTCTCTATTTTTGTTTTGCCTTTTAAACTTCTAGTATGATAATTGAGTTTTGCCATTCTCGGTTTCCGGTTATAACCTTCACCGCTGCTCTTTTCATTTGTTTTTTTTTTTTTCTCTCGGGAATTCAATACTCTGAGTTTTGTCCTGGAGTTTCAAATATCTATCATTCTCTTGATTTTGTCATTTTTTGTTTCCCCTAAACTTGGATTCTCTCCTTTCTTTCTTTTTTCTTGCAATTGTTGCCTGGATTTTTTTTATTGCAGGTACTGGTTCGTTGGTGGGATAGAAAGGAATGTCTCGTACAACTGATGAAGCAATTATTGGAGTGATTTTTTTAATTTTGAATAATTGTTTGCTTTGTTTAATTTTTTGTCTTGATACGTCTCTTGTTGCAACCGTAATGCATGTCTGCATATTTCAAAAAGATATCTTGCCGATCATAGTCACAGAAGGTTGAGTGGTGTACCACTATCAAAGTGAAGCCATTTTCAACTGGACTTGATCGGTGTAGATATTTTTCTGAGATTTGCAGATTGTATTGCGTTGTTACGGTTATTGCTTATACTGCTGACTTCCCCCCCATGCTAGGCTGGGGAAGAGGTAGTATAATTAATACCGTACAAATTGTTTGAAAACGATAAGATATATTCATCAATTCATTTGATGAATATGTCTCGTGTATACTAGATGGTACACACGAGGAGAAATGCAATGATCGTTTGGTTGGTCATTGAATCTAACTAACATTCATCAGAAGTCTTGCAAATATATTCAGACAATTGATTTACAACAAAAATATATGGAGTTGTCTTCATCAGTAAAAATATTATGAAGGGCAAACAAGTATAGCATGTACGGTAAGTTTGGATTATCAAACTGATCCAGATTTTCCCCCCTTTTTTTCAAATTTTTCTAGGATAAAAAAAAATCGCGAAAAAGAAAAATAATTCCGATCGATTGCAATAGGTTGCTCCGCAACCAAAAAAAAAAAAAACAGATGACGACGAGCAGTAAGTTTTTTGTCGTGAATTATGCAGGAGTTTAAGTTGAGGCTACGAATGTGGTGCTCGCACGTTCTTCCAAATGTTTGCTGTTCTTGCCTGTAAGGGATTTAAATCATGTTCTAGGGACAAGTGACAGCTCTTATCCCAAGAGAAAAGGTCATCTTGAGATCAGCTTGTTTTACATGGCAAGTAAAGGTGCTCTCTTAGAACTACCAAGACTTTTACCGTCCATGAGAAAGCTTATTTATGAGTTACATACGCCATACCGTACCAGACGCTAAAAACGGGGATTCTCTTGTTTTGCGGCTCCCCTCCACTCCCTTCCCGTCATCGCGAGGCCCTTCACTTCTGTCCCGCTATTGAGGAAAACATCAAACCAAGGCTCATTTTCTTTTGGACAGGGCCTGTAACCGGGTTCGAGGCACACAGATGCAGTGGGCTTGGCACACCTATGGATCTGGGAATTTAGAAACACAGCTGTAAGGGCGTGTTACGTTTTCGTTTTTTCCGGACGGTTCGGACAATTACCACTCTGAAACGTATTCAAACCCACTTGAACAAAGTGTTTTACAGATATACCACTTTAAACCGTTCTGACGGTCCGGACAGTTTGGATGAAAATCGAAAATGTAACACGCCCTAAGTACATACAAAGACATGCATGCACTCCGGACGATGACATTTGGATGAAGCGAGGTGTTGAGACAGTTGTGAGGCTCTAAGATGGAGACGTTAGACGTCGGAATCATCGAACTTGACGCAACGCTGTTACCTCTGAGGTTGTGAGAGGCAGTAACGCCAACCTACTACATTACCTCCTATATTGTACCTTAGGGTGTGAGGGATCAGCATTTGATGCAGCGGTATATAGAGTCTGCTATTGGGACCCGCCTTCTACTACCGTACGTTTCTATTTATCTTGAGCTGTCCAAGTTTTGAGTAGTAGCTGCTTCTTCCAGTATGGAGTGCACGCCCATTCACTCTCTTCCGACTCACCTCCTTGTGAAGATTTTATGGCACTCCAGTCAGCCCAAATCTAGCGAATTTGAGAACGACGCTTATGAGTGCCTGAGTCCAAGGCACAGGCGCTATGGCGTATCATCTGACGCTCCTGAAAAGAGCTTCACTCCCATATCGGCGCCGCCTGCTTCCGCGGACACCGCGTGGAATCTTCTCGTAGCTTCCGTCTGCCGTGACTGGCGTCTTCTCGCTCGGCGCCACGTCAGCAGCCTTTCTGTCCGAGAGGATCGAGCTGTCTCCCGTCAGGATCTCGCGAACGCCGTCACTCGCTTCCCGAATCTGACCCACCTGCACCTGAACGACGGCAGCGCGGAGTGTATAGACGACGCTTTTCTTGCTCACCTCGCCTCCGCTTGTCCTAAGCTCACGGCGCTGCACGTGGGAACCAGGATCAACGTATTTCACCAGGGATTGGGAATTCACCTCCCCGGAGCTTCGCATCCTATAACCGAATATGGACTGGATAAGTTCTTTCAACGATGTACACGACTCGAGCAGCTTTCCCTCTTTTGCCTGCACAAAGACGTTGATCTGCCACCTTCCCTCTTCCAACTGACTCATCTGCGCACCCTCGTCTTAACAAGCGCATCTGCACTAGAAGCTTCTGGTTTTACCAATCTCCACTCGCTCGACACCCTTCACATAGCCTTGCCGCACCTCACTCATCAGCAATTCTTAGGCCTCCGCCATCTCTCTAACCTCATCAACCTTTCTACATCTCACAACACCACTCTGTTTGAAGGAAAAGCCGTCTCTTCTTCCTCTCCATCCCTGCAGCTGCCTCGTCTGAAGTCATTACAAGTGAACGGCCTCTTCCATTCATTCCTCGACATGTTTCCTTCAGGATCACCAGGCACAAATCTCCAACGGTTGGAACTTGGCCCCATCAACTTCACTGACCGTATCCCCACTGACATTGCAGATCTGATGCCGTGTCTGCGGGAACTGGACCTTAGTGCGTGTATGCACTTAACCGAGCTGCCAGAGGCATTGACCTCTCTCCGAAGATTAGAGAAGCTGCGCATGCGTGGTTGTTCTAAGCTTTCCAGCCTTCCCAGAAACCTCGGAGCAATGACGTCTCTCATACACTTGGAGCTCGACTCGTTGCGTCTGACGGCCCTGCCTGACTCCATCTGCCAGCTCACATCCCTGGAATTCCTCTCCCTCCTCAACTGCTCCAAGGTCCGCCAGCTGCCAGCGGATTTCAGATGCCTCGCTGCTCTTGAGACGCTGTATCTTGGACGCTCGCAGCTGTTGACTCTTCCTGACGATATCGGAATTCTCAGCAATCTGAAAACCCTTCTCCTGGAAGAGAACGCAGAAACGCAGCGGCTGCTCCCATCCTCATTCACGCAGCTGTCTGCCTTAACTCGGCTGGAGCTTAATCGCTCCACGATCGAAGAGCTTCCTCAAGACATAGGGATGCTGAGTAACCTGCAGCACCTGCACTTGTGCTCCTGCCCAAACCTCACAGAGCTTCCAGACTCCTTCTCACGCCTCACTGGTTTGGAAATCCTTGTGCTTAATGGCTGTGATCAGCTCTTCTCTTCAGCTCCAAGCCTGGAGAGCCTTACAAGACTGAAGCGGCTGGGTGTGATTCGTTGCAGCAGGCTGGCTATACCTCCTGCATGTCTCCCCCTTTCTCTGGAGATTCTAGCCATGCCAAGTTACAATCAGTCTGTTCCTCTCTTCGACGTGCCCGCTCTTCCACATCTCAGGAAACTGGAGCTCAGATGCAGACTGGTAGATAGCATGAGTGCATCCCGGCTGAAGCATCTCAATCTGGAATTGGCGGCAGACGCTGAGGATCTCCCCTCGCCCTTGCCACTCCTCCCGTACCTCCACACCTTGCTTACTTCGCATTGCACAAACCTGACAAGGCTTCCTGAATGCATTGGATCATCACTGCCACAGCTGCGGCGGCTCAAACTAGGGCCTTCCTCCTTGAGAGAGCTTCCAGCAGCCGTGTGTGAGCTGCTGCAGTTGACTTCGTTGGAGATCGGAGCATCGAAGCTGCTAGAATCGCTCCCTGGTAACATCGGTGCATTGACTCGTCTGCGCAAGCTGAATGTGTCTGGTTGTGGGGCGTTGCAGCAGCTGCCTGCTTCTCTTACCGAGCTTACATGCCTCCAGGATCTTCATGCTTCAGACACTTCCATACACTCCCTCCCTTCCGAATTCACTACACTCGCGACACTGAGGCGACTCAATCTGAATGGTTGTTGGTTGGTTGGTTGGTTGCCCTGCCGGAGGATGTCACAGAGCTGAGGCTGCTGCGCTACTTGGGTGTGAGAGATTGTAAGCAGGTGCATGATCGTTATTGGCTGGTGCAACCCCAAGGTGTCTACAGGATGTATGGGCTGAAGATGGATGCGTTGATTGGTATTGGCGTGGGTTTTGGGTAGGCCGTGTACACGTTTTAGGAGCAGGGATTATCTGGCATGAAAACGCGGAGCAAGCAGTTTTAGGGATGTTGGTTGTTTTGTTACCTATTGATTGATACCGTAGATTTGGACTGTAGCTGGCCACACTCTGTGCATCTACAACAGCCTGAAGAGCTAAAGAGGCACCACCAGACTGACGAGGCACCACCACACTGACGTTCTTGAATGCCCTGCACTGCAACAGAGCATGCAGCCCAGGTAGGTGAGTCCCCCACAGCCGCCATACCCCCCTCCATGCCTGCCTGCTGGTGTGACCCGGCCTGCTGAGGCATGGGAGCTCCCATACACCATGATACTAGGGAGGAGGCTAAAGCGGAAGCACCAAACTGCCGCTCTTGAAGGCCCTGCAGCCCAGGTAGTGCAGACCAACGGCCGCCATACCCGCCTCGATGCCTGCCTGCTGTGCCTCTGCCTGCTGCAAGCACTGTGAGCCGCAGTACTAGTAGGAAGCTATAGCGGAAGCACCAGGCTGCCGCTCTTGAAGGCCCTGCAGCCCAGGTAGTGCAGCCCCAAAGCCATCATACCCGCCTCGATGCCTGCCGGCTGTGCCTCTGCCTGCTGCACTATGAACTGCAGCACAAGGAGGCTATAGCGGAAACACCAGGCTACCGCTCTTGAAGGCCCTGCAGCCCAGGTAGTGCACACCAAGAGCCGCCATACCCGCCTCCATGCCTGCCTGCTGTGCCCCTGCCTGCTGCACTGCAAGCCGCAGAACTACTAGGAGGCTAAAGCGGAAACACCAGGCTGCCACTTTTGAATGCCCTGCAGCCCAGGTAGTGAACACCAAGGGCCGCCATACCCGCCTCAATGCCTGCCTGCTGTTCCTCTGCCTGCTGCAAGAAACTTGCCTCTACCTCTAGAAGAGCACTGAGAGCACCCGGGAGGGCTGAGCTTGCACCAATTGGCTGGCTTTGAGGTGATTCAAGTGGTGACTGAAGAGTTGATTCAAGGGGAATGGCACCAGGTGGGATACTCGTTGTGGTGGTGGTGGAGTGGGGATGCAGCAGACGCACTCTCATGTTGTCTCTTGGGGTGAGGGGAAGCAAGGAGCGGACCTGGGAGGGAAAGAGATGCAGAGGAAAGAGGGTAGATGGAAGATAATCAAGATTGGAGAGAGGGGAGTGAGGTGGGATGCAACAGGCGCACTCTCATGTTGTCTGTTTGGGAGAGAGGAAGCAAGGAGCGGACCTGAGAGGGAAAGAGTATGGGATGGGGAAGTGTAAGGACAATTGACTGCGGATTTGAATGATAAATCACCATCATCATCTGCTCTCACAATCACTCTTTGCAATCACCCCCCACAATCACCCCCCACAATCACCCCCCACTCTTTGCAATCACCATCTGCTCTGCTCTCCCCACCAGCATCACTGTCCATGCTGTGGCTTCAACTCCAAACGCTAGTCTGCTCTAACCTCCTGTTTTGTCCAACTAACCCTTTGTTCAAACATATCACTAGGTCTCCCCTTTTTTCTACCCATCTCCTCTCCCCCCTTTACCACTCACCATCTCCTCTGCTCTCTCCACCAGGATCAGCGTGCTTGCTGTTGCCTCCACTTCAAACGCCAGTCTGCTTTGACCTGCTACCCCTATCTTCTATCCAACCCTTCTTAAAGTTCTGTAAACAAACTCTCCCTTAACTCACCATCTCCTCTGCTCTCTCCACCAGCATCAGCGCGCTTGCTGTCGCCTCAACTCCAAACGCTAGTCTGATTCGACCAGCTTCCTCTCTCTTCTGTTCAACCCTTGTTTAGTTCTCCAAAATTACCTCTCCCCTCAACTTACCATCTCTTCCGCTCTCTCCACCAGCATCAGCGTGCCTGCTGTCGCGTCAACCCCAAACGCCAGTCTGCTGTGCAGGCACGGCGAGGCAGCCAAGTCCATTCTCTTCATTCCCAACACCTGCTCTCTCCCACCCCGTCTCCTCCCCCCTCCCCACTCACCATCTCCTCCCCCCTCCCCACTCACCATCTCCTCCGCTCTTTCCACCAGCATCAGTGTACTTTCTGTGGCTTCTACTCCAAACGCTAATCTGCTTCACCTGTTCTCCCTCTCGTTTAGTTCTCCAAGCAACCTCTCCCCCCCAACTCACCATCTCCTCTGCTCTTTCCACCAGCATCAGCGTGCTTGCAGTGGCTTCTACTCCAAACGCTAGTCTGCTGCGCAGGCAGGGCGAGGCTGCCAAGTCCCAGTTGGGTAGGCCCGCTGCTCTGGCGACTGCCTGGGGGAACGGAAGGGAAGCACAGCAGGAGAGAGGAAGGTAGGCGGAAGAGTGAGTTTCAAGCAGGGCGATGCAGCCAGGTCCCAGTTGGGTAAACCCGCTGCTGTGGCTACTGCCTGAAAGAATGTGTGGGAGAGAAGGGAGAGAGGAAAGAGGGAAAGCAGTGAGCCGTTGAACGGCTGTCTCATGGCAAAGCAGGGGGATTTAGGAAGGCACCCTTATTACCTGGTGGGTGGGAGATGTGCACTTACCACCGCATCCCACCCACTCACCACCACACCCCCACTCACGCGCACAGCGGCTTAGGGCAGGCGGGCGAGGGGAGACACGACTCGGCAGTGCAGAGTTGCTACGAGGCCAAAACGGGAGGGAAACGCACCTGCACATGCATCCCTTACCTTGTGCACTGTACTGTGCTGCACACTCACCCGCACAGCAGCTTTAGGCAGGCGCGCGAGGGGATGCACGACCCGGCAGTGCAGAGATGCCAGCAGACCCAAACGGGAGGAGGCAGGCATGCATTCACACGCGCCGCTCATTGGGCGATGAGCAGTGATCACTCACCCACACGGCAGCTTTAGGCAGGCGGGCAAGGGGAGACACGACCCGGCAGTGCAGAGCAGCCAGCAGGCCCAAGCGGGAGGTGAGAGCACTCTTGCATTCCCATCTCATGCACCAACTACACACAGATCACTCACCCGCACAGCAGCCTTGGGCAGGCGGGCAATGGCACTCTTTTAACCCCATCTCATGCACCAATCACCTCATGAGCTGCGCTGTGCTGAGCAGTGAGCACTCACCCGCACGGCGGCTTTAGGCAGGCAGGCAAGGGGAGACACGACCCGGCAGTGCAGAGCAGCCAGGAGACCCAAGCGGGAGGAGGCATACATGCATTCACACGCACCGCTCATTGGGCAATGTGCAGTGACCACTCACCCGCACAGCGGCTCTGGGCAGGCGGGCGAGGGGAGACACAACCCGGCAGTGCAGAGCAGCCAGCAGGCCCAAGCAAGAGGGGCAAGAATGCATTCACACGCACCCCTTATCGATAGAAGAGGGGTGCTGTGCTGCACACCGCACATCCCACTCGCTACCACACCCCATTCACTCACCCGCACAGCGGCTTTGGGCAGGCGGGCAAGGGGAGAGACCACCCGGCAGTGCAGAGCAGCTAGGAGACCCAAGCGAGAAGGGTCTGATAGGTCATCAGCGTTGGTGCCGTTGAATAGAGTGACTGGGATAAGAGGAGATACGGAGGGGTTCAGAAAAGGATCAGAGAAGTTGAGAGGAGTTGGGAAGGGTGGAGCGGGGTTCAGAGGGCATGTTGAGATGAGGGGCAACCAGCGGTCTGAAAGGTCACCTAAGAACTTGCCTATTCCTTACCTTCCCTGCAGTTTCTTAGAGGGGTTGATAGAGGTGGAGAGGGATTGAGAGGGCACACTGAGATAAGAGGGTACCAGCAATGCAGAGCAGCCACCAGGCCCAAGGGAGATGGGTCTGAAAGGTCACCTAAGAACTTGCCTATTCCTTACCTTCATTCATATTGCTGTTCTCCATTCCCATCCTCGCTAAAGACTGCTGCGCGACAGTGTACAATGTGGTGTAGAGAGTGGCCTTGCAGGCATAGCAGCTCGCCCCCTCATTGGCCACGTACTCTGGCACCTGACCCTCTGTTGTTTCCACCTGGAAGGGAAAGGGACGAAAAGTGGGGCAAGAGCACTCAGCTCGCTCCCTCATTGGCTACGTACTCTGGCACCTGACCCTCTGTTGTTTCCACCTGGGAGGAAAAGGGATCGAGACATGGAGCAAGAACACTTGGCTCCCTCATTGGCCACGTACTCTGGCACCTGAACCTCTGTTGTTTCCACCTGGAGAAGAGAAGAGAAAAAGCAAAGGGGCATAAAAGCTCAGGCGGAAGCAGATCACATCTGCATAGATGTGATCCAAGACCCAAGATGACTTTGCTGACTTTGCTGACTTTGCTGACTTTGATGACTTTGCTAACTTTGCTAACTTTGCTAACTTTGCTGACTTTGATGACTTTGCTGACTTTGCTAACTTTTCTGACTTTGCTGACTTTACCTGTCAATGAACAAGACCACCCACCTCCCACAGGGGAATGCCTATGGTTGCTGCCACGTGGCGAGCTGTGGTTAGCTGAGAGGAGGAGAGCGAGGGGCTTAAGGCGATCACAGCTGCTACTATGGGAGGCGAGTGAGAGCGTGTGTCCGTGTGTGAGGGGGATTGAGAGCGAGAGTGTGAGTGTGATTGTGAGTGGGAGTGTGACTGTGAGTGTGAGGGAGGAGGCAAAGGCGGGTCTTCTGAAAGTGCTCTGTGCAGGAGGAAGGCAGCGAGGGAGGAGTCCACCCCTCCTGAGAATGCCACCAGGTTGACACCAGAGGGAGAGGCGAGCAAACGGGTTTCCTGGGAGGGAAGGGAACGAGGAAAATGATGGGAGAAGTAGCAGGGGAGAGTGTGGGTAAGGGAAAGAAGTCGACTCCCCCTGAGAACGCCACCAGGTTGACACCGGAAGGATGTGGGCGACGCGAGGAAAAACATGGGAGGCAGAGACGAGGGAGAATGTGGTAGATGGAGAGGAGTCGATCCCCTCTGTGAAACCACCAGGTTGAAGAGTGAAAATTCTTAGTACGTACGCACAGTTGTCCATACGTAGTAGAGAAATCAAGGTTCCATCGGAGAAAATGAGTGAAATTGCGCACCTCTATTAGCTGTAGGAGGAGATCTTCCGCCTCCTGTAGCGAAGCTGGTACAGAAAGAACCTCGTTATAGTCACGTCCTTTCTCTCCTGAACCACCCGCACCGTCTGAACCCTTCGTTCCCCCTTGACTCCCCCCCTGACGGCCGTACAGCTGAGCAACAGACCTCATTTCGCTCCGCATATCAGCAAGAATCGAGGGGGCTGACGTGGATTGTGTGTCAGGTTGTGCGGTTGAGTGCGGTTTCGTGGATCCAGAATCTTGATGGCTGCTCCTTTTGTCTCTCCAAGCAGCTAACAACTCAGGGAGGGACGGAGGGGAGAGAGAGTCGTTGGGGTGGAGAAGAGGAGGAGGAAGAGAAGCGGAGATAGAGGGTGCGATTTGAGCAGTTGAATGCGGTTCTGTGCATGGTGCGGAGGGGTGCAGTGCTGTTGAGTGTGGTGCTGATGACGGCAGCGAGGAAGTCGAGTCAGGGTTCGAGCTGGAGCTTTGAGACTGCGACGTGCAGTGCGGCTGAATGCGACACCGTTCGATCAACTGTGGTTGGGTCCGATGTGGTTCCGTGCAGTGCGGTGGGGTGCGGCGCGGCTGACACCCTGACCGCCAGGACACGGACGAGACGCGAAAAGGGGCCGACGGGACGAGGGGACGCGAGAGGAGTGAGAGAGAGTCATACGGGTGAGCGACACGCGAAGGCTCAACACGGGCTAAAACCCGACAGCCTGTCGCGGCGGCAGGGTTCGCGAAGAGCGCCATAACGGTGGGATGTGTAGTGCAGCGCGGGCATTCCAGAAGAACTGTACAGTGTCACCGTGTTCGCAATGATTGCGCAAAGGACTGGAAACTGCGGGAAGAGGGGAAGGGAGAGCGGAGTTGGCGGGAATTGCTAGGTTGGATTTGTTATGAAACAATGTTCAGGCGACGCGCGAGCGCGCGAAGAGACATGGACCTTGACACTTTCGAGATTCCAGCGGAAAGGCTTCATTCAGATTCGCAAACTATCCCTGCTGCAGAACTATTCGGTATTCTACAATTAGTATGTGCTCAGACTGTTCCAGTTGATACAAAGGTATTGTAAAACATAAAGACACCTGTTCCCCAGCACATTTCTTCCTAAACCAACAAAGTCATTCCTGAAGCAACTGACACCAAATTTACACTGAGAAAATGACAAACCAAGGACTATTTCAACCCCAGAAATCTTCCAATTCACGATCACCCAGTTTCTGGCGGATTTTCGAACGCCCACTGGTTCTCGCGACGAACTTCTTCCATTTGTTCTGGACTAAGGTCGCTTCCAAATGTGCTGGCGATTTCCTCTGGCGTCTGTCCTCGAACCATGTCAGCTACAGCCTGGGTTGTAAGCTCCGACAGATCTTTGATTTTTAAATGATCCGCAGCCTGGTAGTATTGGATCATTCATCACAGGGGATGGGAGTATGGCGACAAAGATGAAAACGTCAACGGAAGGATTGAAGGAAGCTAAGACACAATGGATGATGCATGAATAGAAGACGATGGATACGCACCATAATCAGGTCGAACAGGGTACTTTGATCGATTTTGATAAACTCTTGATCCCACGCCTTCACCTCCTCGTCCGTGACTGCCTGCTCCTTCGCATTTACGTGATACTTGCAGTACTCAATCACCTTATCCAGAACTTTCCCAGAAACTTCTGGCAGAGGGATGGGAGCGCTGGCAGAAGAAGCATCGGCATTTTCAACCATTTTTTTAACGGTGTCGCTCTGAAGGGCTACCTCTTGGTCTGCCTCAAATATCTCATTGTCTGAGCTCATCAGCTTCAACTTGGTGCCCGCCATGATGCTTTGCTATGAAATCACCCAGGAAAAATCGCCCAGAAATGGATTACTCGTGTGCCAAGCAATATCAACGTTCTCATCGGTGCAGGCAACAGACAGCAAAACTAGGTATGAGTGAAGTTGCGTGGAGGACAAGGGTCAGTAAAAGCCGAGCCGAGCTGGACGCTTTTCCCCAGGCGCAAGCGGTGTCACAGCCAGAAAACTGTGCGACAGCCAAGCTCAAGAAAAGAGTCTCGAGCGAGTGATTTTGTGGCTGCAGAAGACCCCAGCAGTCCGCATCTTCTTGTTGGGGGATCCGTTTCCTCGAATGGAATTGAAGGAAACCAGATTCCTTCAACGCCACCTCGCGAGTAACTGTGTTTCGTGAATTCGCAGAAAGTAGGAGGGTTCTTCTACTGCCGTCAATAGCTCAGCGAACGACAGCGGGGGAGTTCCATCGCGCTTGGATTCAGTGTCGCGAAGAAGGGAAAGGCCTATGCGGATTCACGGTCGACTTTACCTCTTACAGAGCGATTCGTTACTCCAACTAGCCGTCTGTTTGTAGAAGTATGGTAACAAATCACGAATATAATATTTCTGTAGCTGTGACTAGGAGGCTAATCATAATGGCAGACAGATTTCGTGTCTCAGCAGAAGATCTACCACATTTTGTCCTTTTTCAAATTCACAACCACATCCAGCTAGAACTGTCAACTCACACATACAATCATTACCTCAAAACTAATAACTTCTAATCGTTAACCCATACATGCCATGGTCCATTACCTCCCGTTCAGGGCTCAGGTTTGGTTTTGGCCTACTCATGATTGGCAGTGTAGCTTTTTCAAAAACCCTTATGGGCAGTGTGTACTTTTCCATTACACTGATAGAGCAGTGTAACATCAGGTTTTGAAATTTTTACCCTGCATCATCAGTGTGGTTTTATTTCAAGCACTGATGTAAATTAGTGTTAAAAGAGTAGATTAGGTTTAGACTAGGGTTTGGGGTAGGAGGGGACTTGAGAGGAACATGTCGAGAGAGTTTAGCCAAAGAGGATGAGTTCACTATTGAGCGAGGTACAAATAGCAAACAAAGCATGCAAAGAAGGTGCACCACCAATAGGTTATAATAACTACACTACACTACAGCTACAGGCAGTTACATATATATTTCAACACTCCCCCATAACTGCCTGCAGCAGGAGTTTGTGCAGCAACACCTCTTGGATGGGTACACCACGAACAGAGAAAACAGCAACAGTAGACAAGAGCAGTGGCAACCGGTGCAGTGGTGACAGATTCTGCTACACCAACCCCTCAGCCAAGGTAGAAGCAACAGGCAAAGGTGCATGTGGCGGCAGGTCGCCTGGAGAGCGGGTGCGTGCGGCGGAACAGCAGGGCTCAACGGCAGCACCTGCCGCTCAACAGCAGAAGACAGCAGAATAAACAGCAGTTGGAGGCAGGGGCGGCAGCAGGAGGTGTCACGATAGCAGCGGGCGGCAGCTGCAGATGCCTAGCTGACTTCTGCTACCGTCTCACCCTCCCCCCCACGGCAGCACACGTGGCAGTGAGAGAGAGAGGAGGAGGGGCGGCTGCTGGCTCGGCAGAATCTCTCTCTCCACTCCTTCACAATCTCCCCCTTTCCCCTCACCCTCCCCCCGCAACCTCTTGCCCCCCTCACGGCGGACCACGCTGAAGGGAGGGGAAGGACGGGCTGCAGGCAACTTACACCCGCCACCCCCACATCCCCCCCCCCACGGCGGAAGCTGCGGAAGGGAAGGGGGGGGCGGCGTTAGCTGCTGCTGGCGCTGGCGTCGTCGCTGGCGCTCGCGCAGGTGCTGGCGACGGGCGCTGGTGCTGGCGCACACGACCGTGCGCGGGTGCGCACGGTCGTACGCAGCTGCGCGCAGCAATGCGCGGCCGTACGCAGCTGCGCGCGGCTGCTGCTGTGTTCGTGACAGAACGGGGCGGGGCAGGCAATGCGCGCGACGAGCAGGGGCAACGGGCGCGACGGGGAGACGAAACGAGGCCGCATCTGACGCCGTCGCGCAGCTCGCCGCCGAGACCGTTTTGTCGGTCGCGACCGTTGCAACCGTCGTAACTACGGTCGCGACGGGGGGCGTGACGAGCGCCATGAGCGGGGGGATACGTGGTGGGCCCATGGGGAAAAAAAAATAGGTCTTAGGACGACCTAGCTCTTAATACCATGTTAAAAGAGTAGATTAGGTTTAGACTAGGGTTTGGGGTAGGAGGGGACTTGAGAGGAACATGTCGAGAGAGTTTAGCCAAAGAGGATGAGTTCACTATTGAGCGAGGTACAAATAGCAAACAAAGCATGCAAAGAAGGTGCACCACCAATAGGTTATAATAACTACACTACACTACAGCTACAAGCAGTTACATATATATTTCAACAATTAGGTGTGTATGACAGGTGGCGAGAAAGTTATCTGCCTCCCAGGTCCCCTGCCCCCTCGATCGATTGTTTGTGAGGGGCGGGGGGGAAGGGGAGGACTTACGAAATTGGCGACAATTTCGCCTCCCCTTCCCCCTCGATCGATTGTTTGTGAGGGGCGGGGGGGAAGGGGAGGACTTACGAAATTGGCGACAATTTCGCCTCCCCCCCCTCGATCGATTGTTTGTGAGGGGCGGGGGGGGGAAGGGGAGGACTTACGAAATTGGCGAGAATTTCGCCTCCCCTCCCCCTCGACCGATTGTTTGTGGGGAGGAGGGGGAGGAGGGGGGGGGGGGGGGGGGGGGGGGGGGGGGGGGGGGGGGGGGGGGGGGGTGGGTGTGGGGGTCCGTGTACGCTCTTCAGTGTAATCCTCGCTAAGGGAAACTTTACCCCAAGGCATCAGTGTGGCCTACATCGATACACTTACTGATCAGTGTAACACTAACTCATAAAAAAATTACCCCAGCACATCAGTGTAGACCCAAAATTTCACCCTTGTAATCAGTGTAGAAGGGTAAATTACACTGATAACCTGAGCCCTGCTCCCGTTCTATTTTCCTGTCCTGTTCATGCCTGCATCCACCATACCTAAAAAACTGCAGCATCCCAAGCTCAGGAAATCTTCTGGCAGGCTCTCCAATCTTGCACATCCATACAGGTCCACACTCTTCAGTCGGGTCAGCTGCACGAAGTTTTCAGGAAACGAGCGGATGGCAGTGTTTTCAACACTCAACTTGTTCAGGCAGGCGAGCTGGGTGAATGAAGCAGGGAGATTCTCCAGGGCTGAGCAGTCTGAGAGATTCAGCTCCCCTAGCCTGGATAGCGCACCGATGCTGGTGGGAAGGGAAGTGAGCTTGGGTGCATGAACGTCCAAGGAGGTCAGGTGGCAAAGCTGAGAGATTGTTTCTGGCAGCACTTCCAACTCTGGAGCATTCTCTATCTGCAAGCGCCGAAGCTGCTTCAGGTCCGAGCCGATGCTTCCTGGAAGCTCCCTGATGTTACCAGCCCTGGAGATCACCAGAATCCGCAGCTGGAGGAGAGAAGCCAAGGGGAATGAGAGCTCCTCTGCATCTTCCGCCAACACCAACTCCAGATGCTCTAACTGGGGGAAAGCACTGGAGACAGTCACACCACCTTCCCCACCCTCCACATTGACCACATTCAGTGTCAGCTTCTTGAGATTCGGCAGCACAGGGAGTTCTGGCAGATGCATGATGTCATTGTAGCTCCCCAGGCTAAGGGACTCGAGAGAGGAAGGGAGGGAGATTGGAGGCCCGTTCAGCCATACAGCAGGGTGACACCCGATTATCTCCAGGCGTTTGAGCTTGAAAAGGCCATCTAGCCTCTTGGGAAGTGACACGAGCTGGCTGCACAACCCAATTGTGAGGGTATCCAGATTTGTCAGTCCTGTCACGGAATCTGGAATCTCCTTGAGATCGAAACAGCACTGGATGTGAAGTTGACGCAGCTGATTCAGCTTCCCAATGCCCTCAGGAAGCTTCTCATCGGAAATGAAATCCAGGTAAAGCCGCGTCAACGAAGTCAACCCTATGAGTGAATCCGGGAGTTGCAGCCGATTGAACACCTCTCCCTCATAAATTCTCTGAATGGCAGCCATTCCCCCCAATCCCACCGGAAGCTTCAGTATTGGCTGCTTCACTACGCACAGCGACTTGAGAGCTCCTAGGCGGTCGAAATTCGCAGGAAGCTGCTGAATCTCGCAGCATTCAACCAAGAGAAGGGTCTTCAAGGAGGTGAGGGAAGTGAAGGATTCTGGGAGTTCCGTGATAGGAAGCCTGCACAGTGTGATTCTTTCTAGAGATCCGAGACGCCCAAACGAGCTGGGGAGGTTAGTCAGGGCCAGCATGCGCAGAAACAATGTTTTCAGGGCAGGCATCTGGCCGAAATTGTCAGGCAGGCTGGAAAACTGGAGGCATGAGGAGATTGTCAGGCTCTCCAACCGGGTCAGGGACGTGAAATCATCAGGCAGCCGGGCGAGTCCAGAACACCAGCGAAGCGTCAGCTCGCGTAGGCACGGCAAAGCCTCTCCAAGGTCCAACGGAAGCCGGTCCAAGTTGCAATTCGCAATCACCAGCCGCTCCAGCCCGTAACACGGCAATCCCGAGGGAAAGAAGTCGCTGAAACAAATACCGTCGCCCTCGAGTTGCAGAGACTTGAGGACTCGCAGATGTGAAGCGGAGAAGATCGCGCTTGGTTCGTCATCATAGGGATCGTACTTGATTGCAACGTCGGTGAGCCTCAGCAGCTGAACGAGGTTCACGAGATTCCGGAAGACCAGATCAAAGGAGGTTATGCGAATAGACTCGAGAGATGAAAGTTGCGGGAAATCGGGAGCGGCCAGAGCGGACGCGTCCGGGAACACGAGAATGCGAAGCCGCGAAAGCTGGAAGAAGGAAGCCGGGAAAACGACGTTCGGGTGAAGACAGTCCAGCGACAGCACCTCCAGTTGCTTGCATTGCCGAAAGAGCTGATCCAAGCCGTTTTCCGTAACCGGATGTAAGTGCTTCCTTTCGTCGTTTTCCGGATCTTCATTGATCTTGCTTCCCACGTGGAGAACCGTCAGCTTCGGGCATGACGAGCCGAGGTGAGAGAGGAAGGCGTCGTCTAGGGTTTCCACGCTGCCGTTGCACAGATGCAGGTGGGTCAGGTTCGGAAAGCATGAGACAGCGTTGGCGAGGTCTTGGCGGGAAACGACGAGATTTTTCCTGACGAGAAGTGTCGAGACGTAACGCTGGGAGAGGCGGCGCCAGCGACGGCAGACCGAAGCGATGAGGAGACTAAGAGCTGCGTCGGTGAAGGCAGGAGGAGTCGGCACGAGAGAGTTTGGTTCGCTATTGCTTGAGATATTTGGTGCAGCTTCAGTCCAGAAGTATTTCTGCCTCGGCTATAAAGAGTCGCATGCAGCATTGTCGCGTGCAGCATCGTCGCATGTCGCATCGTCGCATGCTGCATCAGTATCGAAAATAGGAGTCAGTGGCATTTTGCAGGTATGACATAGAATCTTGAGTAGTAGGTCGTCAGATAGTCGGTTGAAATGTGAACGAGACTCCATGCAAACACTCGAGCGTCAACGACAGAACGGTTGAAAACTAACTGGATAATGAAAAACCGGGACTGCAAGCCTTACGAGGCAAACAAGAGGAATGATTGCCAGATGCCTTGCAAACAACAGCTACTCTGCTCGTGAAACTCACAGAACTGAGAGAGGAATCAAAATTCTAGCAAGACACAACTCTAGCATCTCTCCACAAAACAGGGATCGTGGGGTGGGGTAGCTTGCTGGTGAGGTGAAATCACGTCACCCAGTGATGGTGAGGAGGATCTTATCCGTCAGTCAGCTACCAGAAAACGTTTAAGGCAATCCTTGCCAGTCTGGCTGGTGGTGAAATCACGTCACGCATCACGAATCACGATCCCTTCTTGTGCTGTTCTTGCGGTTCTCGTGAGCACGTTGTTTCGTGGGGCCGAAATCTCGCGTCGCGCTCACCTCAAAGTAATTCAAGAGATATTTCCGCTGTTACATGTGCCTCGGTTGAGAGCAGGGCAAATTTTATCAGGGTAAATCACCCTGATACCCTGATTAACAGGGTGGTTTTTGGGGGTCAAACTGATGGCCTAGGGTGTTTTTTGGGGGAGATTGATTTACCCTGATGTGTCGGTTTTTTTGTGTAAGGCACACTGATGCCCAACGGTTTCCAATTCTCGTAGCAAGTTCTACCCTGTAACGCGTAACCTACCCCCCCCCCCCCCCCCCCCCCCTCCCCCCCCCCCCCCCCCCCCCCCCCCCCCCCCTTTCCCGTAACCTGGGATTCCACCAAGGCAACTGTCGAGGCCGGAATTTCGGCCTTGACAACTCCTGTGCTGGCACAAAGTGGGCCACTATTGGCCAGGTTTACAGTGTGACATGGTAAATTTTTTCAAAGTTAAGAAAACCCTGACAATAAAGATTTTTCGTAGGGGGTCACACTGATAATCAGTTTTTCGAGCTACAGGTACACTGATTATAAGGGTATGTCAAATCCAAAAATTAGCCCTAGTTGAGAGCCGCGTTCCTTCACCAGCAAATATTCCAACCTTGGCAGGGAACACCAGCATATCCTAAAACTGGGCCTACATAATATGTAGAATTTTGAAAGTGTGTAACACTTTCTAAAATTGTGTATTGTGAATAGCGAAGATATTTGTACCGAAGCAAAATGCTTCGGCGAACCGCTACTTCCCCTCTTTTTCGGTATAAAAGAGGGGGCGAAGGCCATTTGGCCTTCACCCACGTTTTTCATTTCAAACTTTCAGTTTCCAAGTTCTCGATTTTTTTCGTCCAAGCTGGCGAGGACTAAGAGCCTTCCTCGCTTCACTTCTCCATCGACGCTCCTCTCCGACATCCTCGACCGCAACCTTTCGACTATGGCGCCGACGAACAACAATAGCCCCGGGGCTAAGGACGCAACTCCTCGACCTTCTTCGGGGCTTGAAAAAACGACCCGGGAAACTGGCGCGGAGAAGCGAAAACGCCCCACCGAGGAAAACGCCGAGGGCCCCAGCACTGGGGTGGACGTGCTGCTCGGCGAGGGCGGCGGCACACGCTCGCGCGCTCCCCAGCCACGCGCGTCCCACGAGCAGGCTCATGGGCCTGCAGTCGCCAATGATGACGACTTCGTCGTCATCACTGGCGCTGACGCGGGAGGATCGCGCGCCACCCCAAAGCGGAGGGCGACGGATTCGCCTGCAACCGAAGGGGCGGCGGCGAATCTTTCGCCCTCACAAGTGGCGGCACTGCTGGCGCTCCTCCAAAAGCAGGCCGCGGCCCCCGTTACAACGCCAGCAGCTACAACAGAAGCGGAAAATTTCGCTTCCGCTAAAACTGCAAACATTCGCAACAACGTCGCCACTTCCGCAAGAGTCGCCGCATCTCACCGCGCCGACAAGGGAAAGGCGCCAGCCGTCGAAGATGAACCCGCTGCACCCGACGACGCTGATTCCGACTCCGACAGCGATGCGGGTGAGGAACCAAACAATCCTATGCCCCTCGTGCCTAATGATCTCCTCCCCCCTCTCCCCTCTCCTCACCCTTCCACCGCGGCCGCCGCCTTCAACCGCAAAGGCGTCCGTGACCAGGCGGAGGTGTTCGAGGCACTTCAGACCTACCTGGCACACGTGGAACACAAGATCCGCGGAGGCGACGCCGCCGGTGCTCTTAAAACCGTCGGTCAAGCTCAAGACCTCATCAAGCGCCGCTTCGACGTCTTGGTCGTCGCCGACCATGCCGGGTTCGACGTGGCTGAGCGCTACCAGCTCCTCAAGACTACGGCGGTGCTCACCTCACGCTCCTTCAAGATGGCGGTGGCGGATATGGCAGCCCTCAAGCGTATGAAGACCGGCTTCGCCCGCGGGAGCCGTCCGTTTCACCGCGACTCCCCCCACTTCGTGCCAAAGACCATGGGCAGCGGCAACGGCTGTCGGGGCTTCAAGGGAACCTGTTTCCGCTGCGGCCAGAATGGCCACATGGCTAGCGCATGCCCCCATGGAGGCCATGGGGGCAATGGGCCCGCACCGGTGGTGTGAGAGAAGCCCCAAGCAACCTCGCCCTCCCATCTCCCCGCACCCAAGGTTCTCATACCTTGGCTGCCTTTGATGGAGGGTGGGGTGTGGGCTGGGCCGGGTGTGGACCAGGGGTCCTTGGTAGTGGCTGCTTAGCCAAAAGCTAGAGGCATGGAGTGCCCTAGGCTGTTTGTGTACGTGTGTATGCGTGTGTGTGCGTTTTTACGCAAAGCCCGGGTGGCTATGAAGTTGTATTTCTAATTATAATGGAATGTTGCTCAGGTCATTGGCCTTGGAGATCCATGCCAAAAGAGAGAGAGAGAAGAGAGAGAGAGAGAGAGGAGAGAGAGAGAGAGAGAGAGAGAGAGAGAGAGAGAGAGAGAGAGGGAGAAGGGTATGGGAAGGCAACGACCAACTCAATAGCATGAGAAAGTCACAACGCTTCGCATGGCAAGGCATAGTGAGTTCCCGTGGCCAATAGTGCCGGTTGTTACCAAGCCATCCAGCTGACATGCCTTGCGAGAGAGAGAGAGAGAGAGAGAGAGAGAGAGAGAGAGAGAGAGAGAGAGAGAGAGAGAGAGAGAGAGAGAGGAAATGAGAAGAGAGAGAGGGAGAGAGAGAGGAAGAAGAAGAAAGAGAAGCGCGCGCGCAACGCGCATGGACCCTCGCTTGAACGGTTCTCACTTTGACACCCACAAAGAGGGGTGATACATGTTGTATCCAACAGATTCTTAGCCGCACCTCACTCACGTGCACTCGCAACCTCATTACCCTTATCAAAACCACGAGGTGCATGTCGTTATGCGTGAATGACCTGCTCATACGTGCGCGCCGATACATTTCACGTAATTTGAACGTCATGGTTCGATCCTGTACCTCTGCCATCCCGCAACGAAACACCCCATGGCAGCCACAACGCCTTCATGGTCCGGGGAGCAGGACGAGATCTTGGCAAATGCGGTTACCGATCGTGATGTCACAACCATGGGTGGTCGCCTCCGACAGGCGTTCGCTTGGTGGGCTTCCTGGTACGAGAGCTCCTTGATTCTATCGGTCATTGTCAATGGATATTGGCTTCCTTGGAAGGCATTCTCACCACCGCCGTTCCGTGAGCAAAATCACGCCGGAGTCTTGAAGCACACCGACTTCACCCGATCGGCAATTCAGGAATTGCTCACGTCAGGAGCAGCAGCAGTTGCATCTAGCTCATCGGCCGTTACATGCATCAGCCCACTCAACGTTGTGGAACAACGCAACAAGTGCCGCCTCATTCTCGACTTGCGAAAGGTCAATCAATACCTAATTGTCCCCAAATTCAAGTACGAAGGACTTCTTCGTGTCGCTGAACTGGCGAAGCCGGGCGACTGGATGTTCTCGGTTGACTTAAAGTCTGGCTATCATCGTGTCAATATTCACTCATCTTGCTGGTCATTTCTAGGTTTTCACTTTGAAGGCACCGACTATGTTTTCAAGTCGTTGCCGTTCGGCCTCGCTACAGCGCCCTTCCTGTTCACCCAGTTGATCAAGCAGTTGGCACGGAAATGGCGAGCGCAAGGCATTCGGGTCATACCCTATGTGGACGATATATTGTTCCTTTGCGACTCGGAACAGGACGCTCGTTTGAAAAGTGGTGCAGTCATTCGAGACCTCAAGGAGTCGGGGCT